TATACTGCGTGCTTAATGATATATAACTTGGAAAGGAAAGCTTATAGATGCCTCTGAACCGACCTGTGAATCTTCCTCAGAGCTTAGTTTAATGCGGACGGCCTGACACAAGGCTATTATATAATCCAAAAATTTTATGACCCAGTCACCCAACTGAACCCCATGCTTGGTTAATAAGAGACATAAGACCTAGGCGTCTGCCTGTTACTGATACTAATCTGATCTTCGCAATCACATTTTCTTTAAAGATTCTAAAGAATGGCATTATTGCCGGAGACAGAGCTGCTTAATAAAAACACCCAAAACCCACCTCAGATAGGGCTACTGAGACCTTCTCTGTCTGATGGATAAGCATATACTATGAGTTTAAGCAGTTCATTGTCACATCTGGTAGCTGGTGCGTGAGTAATGCTCTTTTATATTTGTTTAATATTATTTGACTCTTATTTAACCACCTTTATTATAGGTCTGGTGGAATTATTACCGCCATTCTCATGTCCCCCCTTGATGTTCTAAGAACTTGGTTGCAGTTGGACTTCTACTGCTCCCAGCTAAAGATGAGCCCCATATCCACTGCATATTAGCTGCTTCTCTCTATGTTTCAATCCTCCTCCACTCATTTCAGAGAAACCTTCCATATACTTGCTATAATCTATCAGGTAGAAGGCTGGCGCAGCCTCTTTAGAGGTCTTGGCCCTAGTTTAACTAGAGTTATCCCTGCTACTGCAGTGAAATTCTATATATATAGGAACTGCAAGCAGCTTCTCCTAAATGTGCTTGAATGTGAAGCTGATACTATACTTGTGCATGCTCTTTCTGCTGCTACCATAGGTGTGGTGACAGGGATGGTGACCAACCTAATATGGCTTATAAAAACCAGGCTCCAGCTCGACAAATCATGTGTGAGTAGAAATGGGTCAACAGATATGCGCAAGTATAAGAACAGTATTGATTATGTACAGCAGGTAGTGCAGTAAGAGGGTATTTGCGGACTTTACTAAGGGCTGGCTGCAAGCTACCTTAGTGTTGCAGAGATGGTATTACACCTCATGATATACGAAAAAATGAAAAACAGCTTTCTGAAACCTAAAGATGATTAAAGTAAAGCTAAACATAGTTGTCTTTTTAAGGGGGCAATTTCAAGTAGCATAGCAGGTCTATCCAAACTGCTTGCGGTGCTTGTTGCATATCCCTATGAGGTAACACTACTTCTCTATATTTCATCTTATTAATTTTCTAATCTCCTTTTCTAGGTGATATGAACTAGGTTACAGCAAGCTCCAATGGCAAACAGACACCAGAAGTACATGGGGTTGATCCAATGTCTACATCTAATATACAAGGAAGAGGGAATTGCAGCTGTGTATAGGGGCTTGACAGCGCATCTACTTCAGATAGTACTAGCCGCTGCGATTACTTTAGGCACATATGAGCTGGTTCTGAAAATAATGAACAACTGATGCACTTGGAATGTGTACTCATATATGGTTAGATGGACGGCTGGGGTTTGTAATATACATCGTGTCATAAATAATTTAACTAAGAAGGGGTTGGTCATTGCAGACTGACCTTGATAGAATAGCAGGTACAATTAACGAGGCTGAAATTCCAAAAATGGTCGCTGTAATGGATCACATGACTCCCAGCCAAGGTACACAATCAAAATCCCAATATCCTTGCAACCAGCTTATAGACATTGTGACAAATTCACAGAAAAATTGTACTCGGTGGGACGATGACTAATATTTTATCTCTTGCAATCTAATATTGCTTGCTGCTTAATACTTTGAAAGTCTCAGAATTCTGAATGGTATGTCTCGCAAAGCGCTCAAAACACCTTCGCGCCACAATGAATTGATCAGCAATCATTTATTGTCGCTTTAATAGTCTATCTGCGATAGCAGACTTCAACCTTCATAGATTATAGTCTGATCCCCTCAGATGTAAAGAATGAATGACCCAGAACTTAATGGCCCTATTTCACAGGTTGCTCCAGCTCTCAATCGACTCCTTCGAGGGGATTAATGTGGATGAAAATGGGCCAGCCAAATACCCAATCCTTCAAGTCAGCATGCCAGGTGGTGGTTCATGAGCACCGCATTCCCCTTGATTGCAGTACGTGGTGGGATATGAGACCCTGTCTGTCATTGGAGACCATTCTGAATGTTCTGTACAGGCAACTCTGGCGCCACTGGCTAGTTCTTTCAGTATTTGCTTGCTAACTGAATGATGGAGATCATACACTGCCTAAGGGTCATTGCGTCAGATTAGTGTGGAGGATCCTACAGGGTACAGCTTCTCTAGCTTTGTTAAGTAAGCAATAGACACTGATACTGCCTAGGGAAGTGGCAGTTAACGCAGTATCGCTATTTCTCACCCTGATGGCTAATTTCCTACTGCTGATGAACATGGGCCGGCGCATCCGCTTTTCTGTGGCACAACCTGTAGTCATCGTGGCGTGGGACACGTCCGCAATAATCATGATCGTTCTCCTGATCATTTTCCGATATACTGAGGCGGGCCCTGGTAGTCCTGGCTTCCACCTGTCGCAGGCATACTACTATGGTGCCTTCGCAGCAGGGCTGTATTTTGTGATTCCGACCCTCCTTGTAATCACCTATTATGGTGCATCCCGTGCATATTACGCAAAGGAATTCAGGCTCTCCCTGAGTTAGCGAACCCTCATGCTACAGACTATCATCTTCTTCATCTACCTCCTGGGGGGAGCGGCTATCTTTGCGAGGATCGAGGTCTGGCGCTTTCTCGATGCGCTCTACTGGGCTGACTTCACCCCTCTCATGATCGGTGTTGGGAATCTAGCGCCCTCTTCTCATCTAGCTCGAAGCCTTCTTTTCCCTTTCGCGCTAGGAGGAATCCTGATCCTGGGGATGATGGTCGGATCGATACGCGCCCTGTGCTGGAAAATGGAAAGCAAACAATGGGACATGGGATAATGACCTTCACTTTGAACGCTATGGCTCGACGCGCCTCCGATTCAAAAAGCCGCCTATACGGCTATATTCCACACCTAGACCAAGCACAGAAAGGATCGGAGCGGGACTAGATGAGGAAGGAGATGATGTTCCTACGCACAGTCAAACGCATCGCAACCCTTCAACGCCGCTGGATGTCTTTCCTCATCTCATTCACTGTCTGGATAGTAATGTGGCTGGTTGGAGCAGCCGCCTTCTGGAAGCCGGAATCAGGCCAGAACTGGACTTACTTTAAGTCACTGTATTTTAGCTTCACGAGCCTGACGACTATCGGGTACGGAGATGTCTATCCCGTCAGCGCCTGGGGCGTCCCGTTCTTTGTCTTCTGGTCTCTTCTCGCAGTCCCCACGCTTACTATTCTCATCTTGGCCCTAGGAGACACGGTCGTCCACGGCGTGCGCGAATTTACTATCTTTCTCGGTGAAGCTACCTTCTTTCCTGAGGAGGAAATCGACCCGTGGCCATCCCAATGCTTTCATCAGGCGTTCGATGCGGGGAACACCCAAGGTCGATCGCCATCGCGAACAGTCTGACAGTGCACCCTCCCCTGGCCAGCATACGGGCTCAGCGCATGGAGATGATGCTTCCTGGGAAGACCAGTGCAGCTACCACTGCGCTTTATTCAACAATCTCCATCAATTGATTGAACTGGCTTTGTCTGGGGAGGAAAAAGAATTCAGCCAGGGCGAATGGGACTATTATCTGAGATTGATCAACCGGAGCGGTCCAGTCAGGGCCATTCTTGATGGATCTTTGTCATGCGACTGGGGAGACGGCGATGCCGAAAAAGATGCCCTTCTATCCGAGAGTATCTAGGCTCTATATATAGATAGGTAAGGCATTGAGTGAAAGGGAAGGTTTCCCTAAAGTGTTGGCACAAAAGAGTATTGAACAGGTAGTAAGCGATTGTAAATATCTCTGTTGAAAGAGATACGTCATATAGAGATTGCATGTTATAATGCTTTTCTCTGCATTCGGCAAGTGGCTACATGTAGCAGCAAGCCGCCGAGGTTGTGGGTGAACAGTGATTTGACACTCGTTTTTCAAAAAACAACACCACATCTTTGGCTCTTTCAGTTATTCTTGTTGAAAGGATATGGGTAAAGATAATTAGGGCACTCGCGGCCCACAGGAGTAGGACCAAGGTTTCGACCAGGGCATAGTGATCGGGCGTACTGTCCGATATAGAAGCAAGAGTCGTAGGTCCCTGGTTTCCGGTTTAGCGGATTTCTCCTTAGCCCAGCCGAAATAAAGTCACGTACCGGCAGCACCACATGAACTGCCACTGTTTTGGCAGTCATTATTATTTGTGTTGACCAATGGGACATGGATATTCATGTGACTCCAGTCGCTAACAGAGCAGGCCTTGTTATTATAGTAGTGATCAACGTAGTGTGCCTGTACGTAGATATCGATGAGTCAAGTGATATGATAAAGGTCCCTAGGTAAGGGGGAGACAAACTCGAGCAATTCCATTCACCACAAAGATGTTTGGCCGGAACGTTTCAATGAAAGGATGTTGTTGACCTGGCGTGGTCCACGAGACGCCGTAAGAGGTTGCCACAGCCTTCCTATTTATGTTTGTTAGTATTATCCAGACCTAAAGAGTTCCTACGTACCCCCAGGTATAGGAAAAGCCAGCACGAAGGCCGAATTTTTCTAGCACACCTACGCCAAGTTTCTTGTTCTATTAGTTCTGCCGAGGTAAAAGGGAATAGATACCGGACTTACCAAGTCTGGACCTGCTTGGACGGAAACTTGGTAAGAGTATGACTTAGTATAAGTCTTCGAAATGCTACCAGGCGGGCAGAGGCTGTCGGAGATCTGATGTGTGTTGCCCCTGACTGTGTTCCAGTTCTGGGTTTGCCATTCATACCAGACCTGCTGGTTCGTAACACATTTGCAAGGTTCACACGAAGTAACAAGGCTCTGTCTGGGCTCTAGGCTAGAGGAGTTGCATTGGTATTAGAATAATAACCCTTGGATCTAGGTTCGTAGCAATATCACTTACTCGGTTGCATTGTGGAAAGAGATGTCACGTTCATCCCAGAAACCAGAAGGGACGTGGACTCCTCCTTCTGGGAACTTGTAGAAGGTGATACCGTCAACCTCAAAGCGGTCTTCTCGGTTCGGTTCAGGCAATGAGTACTTATATGCCGCACTGACAGTGCCACTATCCGTGATTGTACCATTGCGAACTAAGTCTAAGATAGAGACTTCATGATGCTCGACTCCTGGTGCTTCTTGGGATTGTGCTGCCTGAATTCCGAGCCCATAAAGGGCAAGGATGAGGCCCAATGATTGAAGAGAGACCATATTGACGCAGATTAGGGTTCGTATAGTTAAATCTGTTCTGTCTATTTGAATTGACCCATCAAAGTAGCCGGGCGGCCTTATATACGTTTGTTCTGTGTCTCAGTTGAGATGCTTTGCTGATGTGCCCGGCCGATAGCCATATAGAAGTTATGCAGCGGTTTTGTAGAAGCTACTCCCACGTGAGGGTGGACTTATCCTCTATTGGATTAAAAAACTGTAGCTCCTTTCGTTCTTGTCCTCTACTACGAGCAAAGGCGCCATCAGGTCAGTCTGAAGGTTGATTAAGGGGCCACCAAGTTTTTACCAACCAATAAGGCCGCCAGGTACGGAGTAGATGAGAGATGCCTGTTCCCACCACGCCGGGCAACCGTTTACTGGGTCGGACCTTCTTGCTGGAATACTGAGAGTCATGCAAATTCCTACGACCTACCCACTAGCTCCGAGCATGTGCAACACCTAATAGCACCATAACTGGGCGTCTGAGACAAGAAAACCTTTATCTAATGTGCAATATATACTATCTAATAGGTCTATTATAAAGGGGCCATTCAATTTCTTAATACATAAAGAGGATAGGAGAACTTAATATAATGGTGTAATTTATGTCTTAATTCCTAAATTTTCTTAATATCTCTAGAGGAACTGCTATGATTCTTTTTTAAAAAGGGGAAATATACATTAGAATAGTATCTATAATCTATATACTGAATTTTAGATCATTCTAACTATGTCTTGGAGAGAAAACTGAGGCCTCGAATATCCGGTTTAGTATGGGAAAATGGCTTATCATTAAGAGGTCAGGTTCATTGAGATGGTGGGGTCTCGCATTGCGCGACCCTAAATACTAAGGCTTAGTCTTACTAAGATGCACTGTGGTAGGGGTTGGTTAAATGTTGAAATTAACTAGCCAGTCCATACACTAGGGCTTCCTGATCTCCAGCCATCGTGAGTAGATGTGATCCACGCTCCATGCATGATGCTTTGCTAAGAATTTCCCAGGCTGGCAGCGAAGCTTCAACACTAGTGGAGTTGACGACTTCAGAAATTTTGAGTTTCTTGGAGTGGCTTGAGTGGCTCTTTGTTTTGAACCAGCACGCCCTCAGAACACCTTGTCTCTAATATTCGGGCGTCTTGATCTTAACAGCCGGCTTAGCGAGGTTGAGCAGTTAGGACAGAAAGTTAGAAGCTTACATGAGGAGGCTATAACAATCACCGAAGATTATCCAAACTTTCTGAAGGATTGTTGTTGGAGCCATGCAGCACTTTTCAACAACGTGAGTGGTGGACACTAAAAGTGGATGGTTATGGCAGGCGCAGAAGAGAGCCAATAGCCTGGTTCAATTAATTATTATATAGGATAATAACCTTTCTAGCACTGCAAGTTCTCGAAACCAGCCATCCAGAATAAACAGACTCCAGGATGCAGACAAAAACTCGTGGAGCATGCTGCCACTATGTATTCCTGTGAATGGGCTATGAAAAGAAATAATTATTTCATGCAGTAGTGAAAACACCAACACCCTGGATGGATACCCCACGCTTAAGCCACTACGCACTCATAGAGAGCACGCATGAGGGAACAATGTTGGCTAATTAAGTAGCAAGAAATTCAGTCCGCCCCGGACACCAAGTGAGTGTGGGGGGATTTTGGATGATAAAACACGAGTTCGGGTTCCCGTCAGCCCGCGGGTTATATCCAACCCACGACCAGTCTTATTAATAACTAGATTCAGTGATTTTGGCTGACGCAGGCCATGGTCTTTTAGGTACGGAGTAGTTAAGAGGCACTAACCATGCCCCCTTCTATGGACACTGGAGATTGATGCCCTAAGAACCTTCCGTTGGATTAGCTGAGAATCATCGTAGCCTTGATGCTTCAGTTGAGGTTCGCGCCACGTGTCTGATCGACAAATTAAAGAAACCTTCTCCCTGGCTCGGTGCCGATCATTCGAAATTCCAGCATGGGTCGTTTCCTTTCATAGAGCTGTGATTTCATCCATGCCTGCTTGGTTCCAAATATGATGCATAGACAAGCGGTTCTTGTCACATTATTTGTACAACAAGAGCAGGGGCCCTATAGCAGGTGGAAGACATGGGGTCGGGCTACTACAGGCTCGGAGAAAAGAAAGTCGTCGGGGTGATCCGGTATATTGCAGCGTGTGAGCTTAAACCTGATTATGCCGAGCCCAATTCAGCGCTCCCTCGAAGCTTCCCAACATAATGGATAATAATTCCATTGTCACAACTTAATCTCATTTCCGTTAATGGACTCCAATCCATCATCTCTCTTGGTTCCCTCACCAAATAACTGTAGAATGGGCAGAGAGAGGTTCAGAATATGAAGATATTTCATTAATCGTTATGTATGTAAATCTATGTTTACTATTATATTATGGAAGGAGCTATCTACTAAGTGAGATTATATGATTAGATCTCTGCTATACTGAGTATGGCTATATACCCCTAGATTTAATTAATAAGGTTATAGCTACTTCCTAATTAGGTAGTTAATCTATAATTATAGTATTAAGATCTGCTATTTATAGTGCTCTACTAGGCTAAGCCTAGTACCTTAAAAAATTAATTAAACTTTAGATAACTAAGTAGCTTTATTATAAGATTTATAATTATCTTATTTATTAAAAGATACTATAGGAAGACCTACTTCTTAACTATTATATCTTTAATTTAATAATAATTAATATTAATATACTTACTATATGCATAGAATTAAGTATTATAGGCTAGGTCTATAGCAGGCTAGCTATTAGTATTAATCTATATAGGGTATATACTATTAAAGCTAATATCTTTAAGAAGATAGGTAAGCTAGATAGCTTTCTTTATAATATAAATAATAGTAATATATTTAGTCTTATATATAGATAAAGAGATAACTAATTATAGCTTAAAAGTCTATAAGATAGGCCTATTACTAAATATAAAGATATATCTAGTAATTAAATAGTATATATTAATATATCCTATATAATCTATATTAATATAGCTAATAATAATACCTAGCTTATATATAATATCTTTTATATTATAAGGCTTATAGATAATTCTAATATCTAGGGTCTAATAGAAGAATTAAATAGGATAAATAAGATACTTAAAATATAATTTATTAAGATTTATAGTATATCTAGCCAGCTTCCTAATAGTAAAGGTAGTATCTAGCCTAGTCTATAGTATTAGATATATAACTAAGCTAACTCCTACTCTATATCTCTCTTTAAGTTTAAGATTATATTTAATAGACTTATCTAATTTAACTAGCTAAGCACCTTCTTCTATAGGTATTATTATAGTTTTAACTAAATATAGATTAAATATATTAATAAGATATTAAAGATAAGTATATTAAGATAGCTTAACCTATCTTTTCTTAATATCTAGATCTATCTTTATATCTAGATAATAGGTAGCTAGGCTAATAAATAAAATATTAAATAGTTTACTAATAACCTTATATACCCCCTTAGTAATCTGCTTAGAAGGTCTAGTAATCTCTATATTATTAATATATAAGATAAGGAGTATACTATAGATATTAAAGAAGAGATATTTATTAATTTTAGATAACTATAATCTAATCTTAGTAACTCTACTATAGAAGATAAGATACTAGRTATATATAGACTACTTTAATCTATATAAAGAAAGTAATAGTCTATATATATAGCTAGACTTATTATTAAAACCTAGTAGCTACTTTATATAGATAACTTTACTATTAAAGAATTTATCTTATAGGAAAGTAAGCTTGATGTCTACCTTAATATAATAATAGCCTAAGATAGCTATAAGTATAAAGAATAGGTAGATAGTAGCTAGCTTTATAGTAGAGGAAAATATCTAGTTAAAGTCTACTCTAGATATCTAGATATAGTCTTTAGTAATCTATCTTATCTTAAATTAGATAATCTTATTATTAGTACTAATCTTAATCTTATAGATCTAATACCCCTTAATAGTCTTATAGCTAGTAGATAGGGTCTTAAGCATCTAGATACCTTACTTAATAAGATTATTTATTTTTACTTTTATAGTATTTTACTAATTATCTACTTTAGGAGAGTTAATTATCTTATAAAAGGAAGAAGACTTAATAATATTAGTATAATTATTACTAATATATATATACCTAGTAATAATATAATTCTATATATACTTCTCTATAGCCTTAGTATTAATATAATACACCCCCTATTCTATAAGCTAAATTACTTCTAGCTAGGAATATTCTAGAAGATTTTCTACTAGCTTACTAAAAAGACCTCTATATAGGAAGTTAATATCCTTAGTAATACTAGGACCTATCTCTATATATATTTATAGTATAGAGATGCTATCCTCTAGTCTAGGTAGATTAGATATAATTAGATCCTAGCCTTTAATAATATCTTAATCTAAATTATTATCACTAATAACCTTATTTAGATTATAGTTAGTAGGTGGAATAGCTAGTAGATTAATAAATTTTCTATAATTATTATCTAGATCTTTATAGAGATCTAGATTGCTTTCTTCTTTAAAAATAATATTATAGATATATTTAACTTTATTAGTTACTAGTATCTAGATAATATATTACTTACCTAGGCTAGTGTAGCTAACTAAATAATAATAAATAGTATATAGATTAATCTTTATAATACCCTACTTAGATTTAACCTTATTAGTAATAGTAAGATATCTAACTAAACCTAAGATCTATAGGGAGCTAATATCTAGATATTTACTAAAGTATATTTTATATAAAGTTATATTTTTACCTTAAATAGGTAAGATATTCTTAATTAGAATAACTCTCTTTATAATTTCACCCCAGAGTTTATGCAGAATAGTTTTATTATTAATAATAGTATAAATCTTTATAAGAATAGTGTGCATGAGATATTCTATAACTAGATTCTAGCTATAAGTATATAGTACTATAAGTTCCTATTTAATAGATTTAGCTCTAGTCTATACTTAATTCTCTTTTTTAATAAATTCTCCTTTATTATTAGTATAAATAATCTATATCTTAATACCTGCATACTTCTCTTCTTTAATAAAGAGCTTAATAAGTGGCATTACTTAGTATCTAAATTTAAGTAATTAGATAGTAACCTAACTATTAAATTAATCTATAATAATTATCTAGTAGTAAGCTCTGGTAATATAGTTATTTAGTATATTATTATAGCTACTATCTATATTAATAAAGATATATTCTCTATATTACTTAATAAAAGATATAGTAATATACCCCTTATAGACTATTATATTAGCTACTACATAGGACTTATAGGTATATTTAGGAATTAATAGTCCTCTAATATCTATTTTATTAACTATTTTAGATATATAGATAATATTAGGAATAGATAAATATATAAAATAGTAGTACTATATTATTAAATTAACCTTATCTTTCTTTAATATATAAACACTAGTATAATTACTATATAGTAGATCTAAAATAAGCATATATTACTTGCTTAGGACCTCTTATTTAGTCTAGATATTAATTATAATATTAGAATAAGGTTTTACTAATTCTTACTTAGCTTGCTTACAGTCTTCCTATAGTAAGTAATCTTACTAAGAGAATAGCTAATTATTACCTCTCTTAGGATAGTAAGGGAATGCTATTAGCTATATCTTAAATAGTATATCTAGCTTAGTTAGTTTAACTAGCTTATTAGTCTTAATAGCAGCATTGCTTCCTATAAGGTAAAGAATATAGGTATTCTAGATAATATCTCTATATCTAATAATTATTTTATCTAATAAGTAAGTAATAATAATACTATCTAGTAAAAGATTAACTCCTAGACCCTTATAGCCTAATCTAATAGTGCCTAAAAGGTTGACTACCACCTTAGGGATATAGAGAATATTAGTAATAATAATATATCTAGTATATCTACCTAGATATATAAGATATAAGATAATATCCCTAATTAAATTAGAATATATAATCTATCTTATTACTATCTTAATACCCTATTTACATAGCTTTCTTAAGCTATTTATAAAGTTTATAGGTATTATAATAAAGTGCTTAGTAGCTCTAGAATTAATAATCTAGTTATTAGTACTAGTGTGCAGGCATAGAGCTAGATTAATAGTAATAATTACTATCTATATATTTTTAATATCTTATTTATTTAGTTTAGAGGTAAGGATACCATTATTATTAATTAAATTATTATTATTAGTAGGGGTAAGGATTCTATTATTATTATTAATAATATAGAAGGTAAGTATTATTTCTTTAAGTATTAAGGTAGTTAAATACTAGCTATTAGGTATCTTATTATCTATATCTATTATATAAGCATAATTATAATTATTAGATTAATTAGATAAAGACTTCTTATCAGGCTTCTTATCTAGATTTAACTCCTAGTAGTCAGGCTTCTTATAGCCTATTTTACTATAATAATAATACTTCTAGTTCTTCCTAGTTTCCCAGGGAACCTTATTGTTGGAATCTTTCTAGTTATTTAAATTAGAGTTAGACTAATTTAACTAATTTAATTAATTTAATTTATTCTTAGAATTATTATTATTCTTCTAGGCCAGCTTCTTCCCTTTCTATACTTTTATAATATTTATAAATAATATATTAAACTTTATGCATATCTCTTCCTAAATAAGAATCTATATAATACTATTAAATATAGTAGTTTTCTTATTATAGTAACTATTAAGATAAGATATAAGGAATATCTCCTATATCTTACTAAGATTATAGAGTAAGAATTAGATTTTAATAAATTTAGAAAGCTACTTACCTTCTTTAAGACTATAATTAAATTTATTAAGGGCTTAAGATAATTTTAATATATAATCTTAGACTCTATTATAACTATTATATATTATATTAATAGCTATTTATAGCCCCTTAAAGGACTATATATCTACTATTATATTATATTTATTATTAAGATAGTCCTAAATAGCTTTAGATAATTCTAAATTAATTACTTTATATCTAATAGTATAAGATATAGTAGAATAAATAACTTTATATACTTTATTATTAATCCTTTTCTAATCTAGAATTATCTTCTTAATTTTCTTATACTATTTTATATCTTCTAATATACTTACCTTAGGCTAGGTTAGTAATAGCTATAACTTTATATATAAGCTATTTACTGTATACTATACCCCCTAACTATATAGGTAAGTCTTAATAGCTTTAGACTAGATTTAGAAGATATCTATATCTATAAGTAATAGTAGCTTATAGAGATCTACTTAAGGTATCTTAAAGAGAGGTTTTAATAAAAGAAATAAGGTTTTAGATATATCCTTTAAGGGAATAAGATTTTAGATATATCTAAGAGTAACTACCAGGCTTCTATACCTATAAGGATTCTTAAATATAAGAATCTTTTACAGGGCCCTGTTAATAAAGGTAATAAAAGGATAGTTTCTATCTTAGGTGGAATATCTAGCCTAGATAAATATTTTAGGTAGAATATCTACTAAAAGAGGCTTTTAAAAGTAAAAAGTAGTAAAATAGCTTAAGGAAAGAACTTAGGAATGATTCCCTAGAGCTCTCTAAGAGGCTCTGGGCTTATAATCTATAGAATAGGTAGAGAGAGGTTTAGAATATGAAGATATTTTATTAATTATTATATATATAAATCTATGTTTACTATTATACAGTGGAAGGAGCTATCTACTAAGTGAGATCATGTAATTAGATCTCCACCATACTGAGTATGGCCATAATAACTTTGACTACACTTAACATGCTGCGCTCACTTCTGAAAATCACCGGCAGGCGCCCGAAATACATCTTTCCGGAAGTCGATCCGAAAGTTGATGGCGCAGACTGACGTGATGACTGCCACGACTGCACCATGAAATGTCCCAAAAACGTCAAGATCGACTCCACCCTTCCTATGTACGGATTCATCAAAGAGTTCCACGCCCACGTGCTTGTTGCGACGGGCAAACAAGACTGGATTCCCAAGGTCGAACAAGAAGATGGGAGCTTAATGAAGGCGTTCAAATCGGACGCTAAATCAAAATTTGGGGTTCGTTTGCTCTCTACTTGGCAGGTAGAAATATGCTTACGTGCAAAAGCGTATCATGGTCTCTGCCTCCAACCTCACTCTACCAGGAGGAGAGGCGCCGGATAACTGCAGCAAGACAACGATCCTCGTGCTGCCATCGTTTACCTTTGTGGACGACGTTTCTTACTCAGATGTGCAGCACGTTGTCGAGACCTTTATTGACGTGCCACCAGAAAATCCAACCGAGTCCCTCAGCAGTCCACGATTGAACTCTCGACCATGTCCACATGACTACGTAGTCTTGCTGTGCTCGCACAAGCGGCGCGATGCGCGCTGTGGAATCACGGCGCTGCTGATTAAAAAGGAAATGGGCCGACATCTACGCAGACATGATCTCTACTGAGATATGGATGATGAGCGTCCCGGGGGTGTAGGGATTTATTTTGTGTCGCATGTTGGCGGGCACAAGTTCTCTGCAAATGTTCTGATCTATCGCAAGCAAGAACAGCAGATGATCTGGTTGGCGAGAGTCAAGCCGGAAGACTGTGAGGGGATTGTGAATTACACGATCATGCAGGGGAAGATTGTTCATCCGGATTCGCAGCTAAGAGGAGGATTTGACAGGGCCAAGGGATTGACGAGCTGGTGATGGCAAAACCATTGGAATATGCTTCTGAAGTTAGGGCTGCGTGGATTGCTACGGATGTTCTTAGGCTCAACCATTACACAATAAAATACTCTTACAGAGGTCCTTTCCCTTTTCATGTTTCCTTTAAGCATACATGTTCCTTCCTACTACGTATATGCCTTATTCGCCGATCAATATTTCATTTAAAGAACAGAAAAGACACGTTTAATGTCTGTTTTGATGTCCTTATGGACCTTTCAACAAACACATTGAGATACTGTTAAACATAATGAACAGAAAGAATAAGGCAAAGTAAATAAAATACAGAACGAGCAAACCACCAATATCAAAACGCCAGACTTATCAACGCAAAAACCCCGACTGCTTCCATGCCTGGATATACCTCATGACCAGTGACCAATCGATCGGACCCAAACCTCTGAATGTTGCTGAGTGCTCTTTAGTGCGAGCTGTGTCCAGTATCACCCCGCCACAAGACATACGTAAAAAGTCCATCTCGAAAAAGTCTCCCAGCCTGGCCGCCGGGTTCTCTGACACTGTCAAACTAGGCGGAAACTGGCGCACTCGATGTAGCCATTCGCCATATGGAATGACGTTAGACGATGGGATATTGAGTGTATCGGAAAGGATGGTCACCATTTCGCTCCAGGGCTGGCGCACAGGGTTCTCAATGTGGTAGATTGGGTATGAGGGCTGCTCTCCTATGAGCAGATCACCCATTGTGGCCGCCACATCATTAACTGGGCACCACGACAAAACCTATAAAGATGTTAGATGGGCAACTAAGAGACACAGGGGTCACAAGAACATACCCCGTCCAGATCCGGCAGCACTCCGAGTGTCTGCGACGACTTAATTAAGTGCACGAGATGTTCCACCGGATTCCACTGGCCGTTGATCTTCGATCCGCAGATCTGGCCGATACGCACGGAACTGACGCAGAAGACGTCGGAGTGTCGGTGCAGAGTCTCGTCAAGCATATGCTCACACACTAGCTTGGCATCCGCGTATCCCATTGGCAGGGCGGATTCTACGTCGACTCTCTCCTCCGGGACGCGTGCTTGGCCGCTCAGGAACGGATGGCAGCCCACCACTGAGACGGAGGAGACGAACAGGAATCCCACTTTTCGCCCTTCGTTGCCGCAATCACGAGCAAGGTCAATCAAATTGCGCATGGACTTGAATTGGGGCTCGAAGCCGCGCACAGGACGTGTCATGCTCATGGGCCATGCGTTGTGAACAATGTCTGTAACGTTCGCGACGAGATCTTGATAGGCTGCGGTGCAGAGACCGAGGTTGGCCATGGACGTGTCGGTCTCTATTATATCCAATTTTGTAATGTTTTCATTTAACAAGAGGTCTCTGGATAGAAGGGCCTTGTGTTGTCGAGCGGTTGGGTCTGAACTGCTCACCCTGTTCAGACAAACGACCTTGCGAACACCCGGTTGCTCAGCGAGATGGGCCACAATATGCGATCCCAGACTGCCTGTGGCGCCTGTAACCAGCACACAGCGCGAAGGACTGTGATTGACCAAGCGCGAGATCGGGGCAGCAAAGCCGTTGGTATGTTTTTGGACCAACCACTCCGTTACTGTTCGGCGGGCAAAAACGTCAGCCGGGACCTTCGAAGGAGCAGGGGGAAATGTGGATACCCGGCGATGATTCTGAGGAGAGGCAAACGCAATTATAATGCGCTGGATGGAGTTCTCGGGCAAACGGCCATCGCTCCAGTCGACATGACCGTATCCGTTGCCGTGCAGCGTCTTCTCCCAGAACTCTGGCTGAGCGAGCGCATGCTCGCGACCATCATCAAAGAGCCACCACCCTTCGACCAATCCAAAGACCGAATCCACCCAAGGTACTGCCTCAGTCATCTCCAGCATAATGAGAAACCCGTCGGGCCGGAGAATTTTGTGGATGTTTTTGGTGGTATTCGCCAGACTGTGGGTTGCATGGACACAGTTGGTCGCCAGCACAACGTGCTGGCTTTCCAGAAGCTTAGCTGGGGGTGGTTTTTCAATGTCAAGCACCTCAAACTTTATCCAGGAGTACTCCTTGAATCGCTTTCGGAGTCCAGCCACCAGCGAGGGCGAGATGTCACTAGCTGTGTAGCAGACAGGGATTCTCGAGCGAGCGAGAAGCGGCAACAATGCCGCCGTCGTACCCCCAGTACCGGCACCCATCTCCAGAATGTTGATTGCCTCCTCGCGTTGCGCTAGGAGGTGGTGGATCAACTGCTCCCAGAAATGCTGCAGCTGCCGCAACCAGGCCACGTTAATGGGGGACTTTCCGTACATGCCCGCCGCGAGCTCTCGCCCCTCCGCAGAGCCAAACAGCAGCTGGATGGCTTCAGTCTTTCCTGTCAAACAATCCGCCAATTGGGATCCGGTCAGGCTAGTGAGTTTATGGTCGTAGGAGTGCTCAGGATACTCATGTAAGAGGTCTTGAAGCAACTGGGAGGCTGACTTGGATGGAGCGGGAATCGCTGTGCGAATCAATGTTGAGCCCTCCACGTCCACAAGGCGCGCTTTTTCTAACAAGCCTCGCAGAACGGCCATGACCTTGTCATGTTTGGGCAGGTGAGGAATGGGAGGGATTGATTCACCCTGTTTCGCAGAACGAATAGAGCATCCCATTTGGTCGAAGGCGTCGAGTGTGTGGACAATGACCAACTCTGTCAATTTTGGCTGGACGTGATGGGAATAACCGGAGAGCTGATTTTCTGCGATGAATCGGTCCGTTTGGAGCTTTGTCTGTGTAAAAAGATCCGCGATAGAACGGGTGGGGAGCTGTGCATCAGCCTTATACAGTCCACCATTGGTTTCGCCATCCTCACTGGCTTGAAGCAGAACGAAGTCACTGGCCGAGGAATTTGTAGCAAACTCGTCGGTACTGTCTGCAAGAGTTGCGGAGTCAGATGCCCCCATCTTGCCTCGAATGCTATTCACCAGACTCCGCACATCCACCATCTCCATGAGCTCATCCAGCTCGAATTTGATGCCGAAGTACTTTTCAACCTCCCGAGCAACCTCCATGGCCAGCAGTGAGTCAATACCCAGTTCGACGACGTCCGAATTGAGTTGGATTTCGTCCGCGTCAAGCCCCAGCAAGTTGATAAACAAACTTCGGACACCACCGAGGACATCGGGCCCATCATCTTTCTTCGCCTCTTTTTTCACTTCTTTCTTCGTCTCTTCTTTCGCACTTGGCTTCTTGCCACCAACAGCAGTGATGCCGGCTGACTTGGAGGCCTCGAATCTTGGAGTGATCGAAACCACATCAGGTATCGCCGCTACGGTGGGAGCTGCCTGTTGGACTGGCTGTCCACCAGTCAGCTTTGTCAGGAGTCGGGACATGCCGACGATTGAGACTTCCACGAAATGAAGACCCAAAACGATCCACACCGGTTTGCTGGTTTCGGCATCAAAGACGAACAAGTCGCTAACGTACTCCTTGGGCGATGGTTGATGATGGCGCGCATATACGTCCCAGCGCTCTGGTCTCGCATCCATCGGGAAGCTGGGCGAACGAATCCATAAGTCAACTCAGTTAGACAGATACATCTTGTCATCTTCGCAATCAGACATGCAATTCAAGAAGATACCAGCCACTTGACAGAAGGTATCACCAAGACCAACGCTAAGAACTGTGTTTGTCGGATCCTGTTTGACGATGCGTCCTGCAGACTCGTTTCTGGAAGAGGCCAGCTTTTGGAGCCCCTTGTAACTGTCGTTGTTGTACTGCACCACAGGTGAGAACACCTTGTAGATATTACGACTCCCCTTGATGACTTGGTCAGACTCGTCACCGTCCAGCAGGGCCAGAGCGCGCCTGTGATCGACTAATCGCTCGTATGTTTCAAAGGTCTGAGCAGCAGATTCAGGCGAATGGAACACCATGCGACCTGAAACGTGCTGTGTGGCATCAACGTCTTTCTCCGTGCTGGTGATATGGAATTTCCAGGTAATCGGGCTGTCATCAACCATCTCCGCATCGAGCCAGACTTGTTTCGTTCCGCCTAGGCATAAAGGCGACTCGCTCTCCATGCATTCCAGCGCGGGAAGCAGATTTGATACATCAACCAGACTTGCCAACGTATCACGAGCAATGACTTGCTGCAGCATACTGGGGCAAATCGCCGCCGTTTGTGCGATAAAATGGGCCCCAACAAAAGCCTTCATTTCCTCCGATTCAAGGTGAATCTGGAATCGTGCGTGTGTCTTTGTAGAGTCTTCGTAGCCAATGAACGACCACATGCCGTTTCGAGTATTGGGTATTTGCACGACTGACTCGATCTGCTTGACTTGCTGTTTGCGGCGCTCCAACCAATGTTTGGACTTGACGAACTGATATGGTGGAAGCAAAAGGATGGGACGGTCGATTGCCGGTCCGACATGTTCCCAGAAAGAATGGTTAAGCCCTGCCTTCCAGAGGTTGACTGTCGCGTCGGTCATGTTCTGGACAGCTCCTGAGCGGGAGATATCGATGGACTGGAAAGTCATATTCCAAAGTCCAGCAGTCCTGCTGGCAAGACTTGTTACTCCCGAACCCGAACCCGAACCCGCCTCGAGCCAAATGCTCGACGGATATCGCTCGGCCAGGCGCTGCACCGCCTTATCAAAGTGTACGGGGTCTCTCATGTGAGAAGCAAATACCGTCGATGGGGGCGGACTGCTAGCACATTCTTGCGTTGCTCTCTCATGGTGAAGAACTGGTTTGCGGAAGATCAAGTCTTCTCCGAGCTTCTCGAGTTCAGGAACCAGATCATCAACTAAGCATGAGTGGAAAGCATGGGTAGTATCAAGGGCCTTTGTCTTGATGTCGAAAAAGGTGGGGGAAGAAGATACGGTCTGCTTGACAAGTTCGATCGCAGCAGCGGTGCCGGCCAGAGTGAAGTTTCGGGGGCCGTTGAAGCAGGCAATCGTAACTGGGACTGAGGAAGCGTCATTCACCCGTTGAAGCAGCTGTTGGACAATCTCCCGCTCGCCGTCAACAGCTAACATGCAGCCCTTCTCCGGGCCCCACTTCTCTTCAATGATTCTGGCCCGTCCCGAGACCACCTTCAGGGCGTCCTCGAGCGTGAGCATTCCAGAAATACACATGGCCGTGAGATCACCGAAGCTGTGACCTACGAGCGCTGTGACCTGCACGCCACTTTCGATCCAACTCTTTGCGCAGGAATACTGCAGAGCGAATTGCATAGTCTGCAATTCAATGATGCTTCTCGCCTGGCGCTCAAAGATGGCTGGCACAATGCCTTTCAGTCCCAGCGATAAACAGGCCTCATGGCATCGGTCGAGATGAGTCCGTAGCACAGGGAAGTACTCATAAGCCTCTCAGTCAAGAGTTACAAAATCGGACCGTTGGCCACTGAAATAAAGAATAACTAGTCTCGATCGCTCTTTTCCATTTATCAAACCCGGTTCGCTAGAGCCATCTACCAGATTGACAAGTTTTGCTTCCAGCTCGTCCACTGAAGCGCAACTGAATATGTGTGCCTCTCCAAGCGAGCAATTCGACTGGCGGGCTAATTGGTAAGACAGATTGCGGATCAAGAAACAGTGATCATCTTGCTTTCTTGATCGTAGGAATCGGATCATCTTGAACGCATACGATCGCAATGATTGATTGTCAAAGGCAGAAAACCAGAAGGGACGCCTCCATTCGTCGATGTTTCCGGACGCTTTGCTTTCGCGTGTAAATTGGTCTGTCTGGGTTACAACCAAAGAGGCGTTTGAGCCGGAGGCACCGTAATTGTTCAGCAGTGCTGCCCGGAAGTCTGCTTGCCATGGCTTTAGAACCTTGGAGATATCGATATTGTCCGATGGCAAGGCTCCGAGCTTTGGGTTCAGGGTCTGAAAGCCAGGCTGCGGGGGAATGGAGCCGTGATGAATCATCAGCAGTACTTTGATCAAGGCAGCGATCCCAGAGCCGCACTCCAGGTGGCCGATAAGGCCCTTGACCGATCCCAGATTCAGAGGCTGTGCACGGCCTGGGCCGCCCAATATTCTGCGGACACTGTTGTACTCGGCTTGATCACCGACCTGTGTCCCGGTGCCGTGTGCCTCCACCACCGAGATTTGCTTAGGATCAAGTCTAGCTTTCCTGAGAACAGTGGAAAAGACATTGCTGAGAGATGAGATACTGGGGGCAGTAATTGCAGAGCAGTTCTCGTTTTGGTTCACGCTTGAACCGCGGATAACACCGAGGGCCTGATCGCCATCCTCGAGCGCGGCAGATAGTTTCTTCAGAAAAACAGCGCCGGCACCCTCTCCTCTGCAATAACCATCCGCCGCCGCATCAAATGGCTTACATTGTCCAGTAGGGCTGAGGAAAGACGCTCCGTCGAGGTTCTGATACCATTCGGGGCTTGTCATAATATTAACTCCACCAGCGAGCGCGGCATCACACTCGCCGCCCAAAATTGCGCGGCATGCGTGGTGCACTGCTAGGGCAGAGGATGAACAAGCCGTATCTATTGTGACTCCCGGTCCGCTCCAACCGAAGAAATGGCTGATTTTGCCGGCAGCAAAGGACTTGAGATTTCCAGTGGCTGTGTAAGCCGTAGGTTCATGGCAAGCGACATTGTTCTCGTAGTCCGTTACGCCAATGCCGACGTAGCAACCGACATGCTGGCTTCAACCTCGCTTGTTAAAATATCCAGATTGCTGCACTGCCTGATAGGCAACCTGCAACATCAGTCGATGTTGTGGGTCAGTCGAGACAACCTCCCTCGGGCTCTTCTGAAAAAACTTGTGGTCAAACACATCATGATCGTCCACGAAGTTACCAAACCATTTTCGGTCTGGATTGTTCTCACGCCAAGCTGAATACTCGAAGTTCACTCTGTCGGTGGGAACTTCACGGGCCTGCGATTCTCCAGCACAAATTGTGTGCCAGAACTCATCCAGGTCGCTACCGCCGGGGAAGTGGCAAGCCATACCGACCACGGCGATGGAATCATGTGGGGTGGGGTCTAGCAAAGCGTACATTGGGGCAGAGCAATTTTCTGCCTGGATATCGATATTGGCTGCATGCGACAGCTTAGTGCCAAGCTTGCGGAGGAACCACTGGGGCACGAAACGCTGGCTTCCGAAGGTTACGACCAGGGAGGTCGATTCATGCAGTGTCGTGAACAGCTTATGCCAATCAGCCTGATCCGTCAGCATTGCACACGCAGCCATTTTGTGGAGCTTTCCGTCCACGGGGAGGATCGAGCCATCGGCTGCCCGTGTTTTAAAAGCGAGCTGTGATGTGGCCGGGAAGCGATACTTGGGCTCTGAGTCAAAGAGATCCAGAAGAGCCGTAGCCTGGCTCCTGCGGCGCTCACAATGGAAGGGGCCACGCAGGGATGTTTTTGTGAAAATCAAACCAGCTTCCTTCAACTGGTTTAGGATCTCGTTCCCATCCACTTTTCGAACAGTGAGAGTGGCCAGGCGGGCTTCAGAGATGACAGAAATGTATGCCTGGCCTCGTTAGATCCCTGAAACTTCCTTAGATCAACAATTTGCATACCTCTGGAAAACGCTCTGCGATTCCATGCAGCTTCTCTTCCGCAGTCTGGGATGTCCACCCAACCGCGACAGACTGCCACTTATCGCCATCTTCGTCTTCCGAGTCTGCTGCATCGACTAGTGCACCTATAGCTGTTGCCATTCGGATAGCGGCGGCGCCGTGTGTTTCGAGTTCTGCAAGACTTCCCGAGCTAGCAACGGCAGCACTGCTCAACAGCCCAGAACAGAGACCCGCTGTCTCGGTGTTGACCTTCAACACGCTCTTCAGGGAATCCTCACGCGTGATGTTTGGGTTCATTTGCTCCACAAATTTGGTATATTGTACTAATTGCGTTGCGATAACCAATGGCGTGACCAATATATTGGGCAATGGAAATAGCTCTTGGGATAGTTCTCCTCTTCTCACCCATTCACTCAACGTATCAAGATACTTTCGACCCCGGAAAGCTTGGAGCTCAGGATGGGCCGCGGAGATTGTTGACCATTCTTGCGGTAGTTTTACCAGGAGGTTCACCATCCACTGGAGATGACTTGTTTCCAGCAAGGCAGTTCGAAGTGCGGTCAAGTGTCGAATGTCGATGTCGGGATCCTGAGGCCCGAAAAGAAGGGTAAGGGTGCTGGGATTCAGATCAACCATTTTGAATGACCACCGGCTCCGAGATAAAAGAGTGCGAGGGTTCAAGTGAAGCAGATCGAAAAGAATCTGGTTATGTTGAATATTGTACAGATCTATGTTAACACAAGTTGAATTCTCTGGCGTCTGATTGTGATTTTTCTCAGCCACTGATGGGAAAGCAGAACAATATATACAGCTTGCACGCAAAGCTCACCCCTGTCAAATAGCAGCTTACTGGTTACAACATCCCTTTCTATCTGTTTTCCATGTTTTCACTGTATGGAAACTCCGATCTTGCTGATGCTCCCAGAATGAGACTCTGATAAAGGGCTCAGCCCCACTCGGACATTTAGAGAGCGTGGAATTAGCCCTATAGTCGCCTCAGCACGCTGTGAGCTGAATATGCTCTGTGTAGGAAAGTAAAATTAATGGCTCTTTTGTCGGCGTTAGTTTTTCAGCTGCGCAATATTCGGCTATTGACCACCCGTTGTGGCTCAACATCACCTTCAAGGAGCTCAAGTGGAAGAAATGAACAATAAAGTTCTGCTCTTCAGAGATCATCTTCAGCGTTTCCTGAAGTGTGCAGGCATAGAGCCCTGCCCAGACAGGTAATCCCCGAAGGATTTGGCCCCCTTGCACTAGACTCACGCAACATTCACCACGACATCCACACGCAGGAACAGACACGTCCATACTACAACGCGCAGGAAATTGCCCCTTTTGTGAACAAGTGCCCTGTCCTCTGAGAGCTGCACCTCACCGTCCACCACGTGCAGGGCCGAAGGATTGGTCCCATGCCATCGGACAATCTATACTCGTGAATTTACCAGCTGATATCTCCTGCAGGGAATTCAAAGGATTCAAAGGTTGATTCTTCTGCTGAGATAGGTCTACCGGATAAACTTGACGATTTAGGGCAAAACGAGGCAAGGACAAAGAAAGTGACAGAGAGAAATCTAGTCTCTACTTCATGCAACAGCTCCAGATTGATAGAGATAAGGTATTCAGTTCAGCTTCTTCTTTCGTTACGGCGGTAAATTGAGTCACTCACACGGTATAACCAGATTGCTAAAATGTGAACAACAAGTCATGCTTTGATAATATCTCTGAGGTTAAGCTGAAACCATTGTAGCACTCTCCTCGGGACACCCCTATTGAGGATTTGGAAATAGGCCAGCGAACATAGAAATTCTTATTCACAAGTTCAGCGAGAACGATATCGAGTTCCATTGCCAGTTGCAGGTTTATTTTTCCTCATCCAGATTTCAAACATTGATAGACTGAGATCCTAATAGCCAGCTTTTGTCGCAACATTATCCACCCAAGCCTCCACGGTTGTTGGCTCTCTCCCCAACAGCCACCTCAGTACGTTTGGACTTCCCTTCAGGCCGCGACGATTGTAGAACAGTATGAGATGTTCGACAGTGTCTCGGACCAAGTCCCCGCGTAGATCACCGGCACTCGAGCGACCGAGTCCAATCTCGCCTTGGCCGTGCTCGGAACTACCATATAAGTTATCGATCAACTTGCTTACTCCGGTTTCGAAGCTGGGTGTTTTCAATTCAATGTTTTTTCCAATTCGTTTCTCAATGATTCGTATAATCTCCGTCTCGGAGATTGGCAAAGTAGACACGAGTGGATACTCGGCCAGGTAGTGGGCTTCACGTTCATCGAGAACCTTCACTGTTGCGGCAGCGAGGTCGTCGAGAGCGATGACGCTATTTGCATGCTCGGGTTTCCACCATTTCTCCATTACGGGATGGTCTTGTGAGGCAAGCCTTGCGACGGGATAGGCGTCGAGGAACTGCGACCAAATCATTAGTATCGACAATGCTTCAGGACATCTTCACAGGCAAATCCAAACATTTCCAGGTTTAACTATGGTCCAACAGTCCAATGGACTGAGGAAAAGTCTCTCCTCAACATAGCTCTTCAAGTCGTGCTGGAGTAAGCTCCGATGCTAGGTGCCCAGTACACTTGACAGAACAAAGTGCTTGAAGACATTGCCTTCGCGACGCGACTCTGCGACGGCCGCGTCAACCAGGTTGAAGCCAATCTCTTTCTCATGTAAATGCAGGCTCGGCAACACGGCGTTGATGGCCGTTGCGCCATGCAACAGGTGACGGCAGTCAGACAGCGACTGCAAATCAACTATGACAATTTCCGCGTCCGGGTAGGAGATTTCTAGGTTCTTGGCCGAAGCAGTGGAATGCGCGGCCAGTCGGAGGCGAAATTTACCTTTATTGTATAGGAGAGGGATCAGCCGACTGCATTGTTTCCCGCTTGGACAAGTAATGACAAGGACTTCACTCATGGTTGTGCACGGTCTTTCGAATCGAATCTATGAGACGTTGAATGAGGGCACAAACGCTTTTGTGTTGCTGGTATAGGGGAGCTATATACCCACCACAGAAGATGGATCCGGTCATTCGCTCGGAGATACTTTTTGGGCGGAGTTTGGGCCCACCAGAGCATGAGCATCAGCAATCAGCCATATGGGCGTTATAACACTAAGATTTTTCCTGCCAGACTCTAGGGGTAAAAGCTAGCTACACCAAAAATGGACTCCAAAATAATTGTGATCACGGGTAAGTGGAAGTTGTATGGACATAGTCGCCTATCATTCGCTTCGCTGATTCCCTTTTAGGTGCGAACACAGGGATCGGGCTGGAGACGGTGAAAGCTCTCTGCCAATCTAATCAGAAATATCATATCCTACTCGGCAGTCGCAATCTCGAAAACGCCCAGGTGGCATGCGGGCGTCTTGCTACTCAGACATCCCAGAGTACCGTGCAGCTGTTCTTGGTGGACGTCTAGAGCGACGAATCGATCGATGCAGCCTTTGGGCAGATTGCAGCCAAGTATGACCGGATTGATTGCCTAATCAACAATGCTGGTTTGTCTCACAAGTTTTTCTGGAAGTGAAATTAGACCGACTGACTGGCACAGGCGCTTCCTTTGATTCTTATATTGATCAAGGCATGACAGCCCGCCAGGCATGGAACAAATCCTGGGACGTAAATGTCACGGGTGCACATATCATGACGACTAAATTCCTTCCGCTACTACTCAAGTCGCAAGACCCGAGGTTGTTGTTCATTACGAGTGGCCTGTCCTCACTACAGGGCGCTTCCGATCCTCAGAATCCGAAGAATGTCCTAGCACCAGCGGTGCTGTCCAAGGCACTGCCGTTTGTCGGATATCGATCAGCAAAAGCGGGCCTTAATATGTTGATGGTGGAATGGACTAAGGCGTTGAGGAACGACGGCGTGAAGGTGTGGGCGGTTGCTCCGGGCTTGCTGGAGACCTCTCTTGGGGGAAACCCAGAGCTGTTGAAGAAACTAGGGGCGAAAGATCCCAAAATTGGGGGTGAGGTTATTCGTCGAGTCGTGGAGGGCGAACGTGATGCGGATGTTGGGAAGGTAGTGCGCGAATATCTGTCGCCGATTCAACCCTGGTAGATGTTGATAGTGTCCCAGCCACGAGTACAGTAGCATACACACTGGGAAAGAATAGAGAACATAACCAATCCCTGAAAACAAAATCTATTCCTAATTATCACTCCTTTGTCTACAAAAGCGTTCAGTTCCCACCTCGTCTTTTTCTGAAGCCCCTCTAGCATTTCCCGATTCCATCATGTCAGCTCACCTTGACAAACCTGTTCCTTTCTTATGAGGGCATTCTCCCTGGACATCCCCATACAAGAGCTCTTGTCCAGGGCGGGTCACCCAACTTGTACGAAGTGAACAGCGAGGTAATACATGCAATCAACGGTGGAGAGAATAACTCAATCAAACCAGGGTTATATTCTACTTAGCTTCAATAGACTCATGTGACTGATACTAGCGCAGCAGCTTTGCAGCGGATACAGTCAGGTTTGAAGTGAAGAGCAGCATCCAACATAGCCGTAGCCAGGCGAACTTGCTAGGTTTTGCGATGCCAACTACATCTAGAATGGAGTGGATCCAATCAAAGGTGAACACAACTCCTCTCAATATTGATGCCAGCAGAATCGATAGGCTAGACCACAGTAAATAGGGTAATCCATAGTTTCTAGCATGATAGTCTTCGTGAATTCTTCCTCTGTGGTCATTGGTGGAGTCCTGTACAAATGCTTCGTGGAAATTATTTATACAGACACCATATACCATGTATATCACGAATATTCTACGTTTGTCCTGTTGATGTTTGAGGATACTACCGTCTAAGGGGATTGTGGGAGTCGCCCACGGGTCTCGCTGATGTCTACTCCGTAGCCTGATTGTAGTTCTCATATCCCACAGAAGTTCTATTTCATTTTTGAACATGTAAGAGATTGAAATTTCAAGCAGGTTAAGAGAGTTGCATATGATACGTATACGTTCAGGTACAGCTAAGCCACAGCCATCCACCGGAAAGTTGTCTACCTCAAGCCGCAAAGAGCCACTCCGGCTCCTGAGAAGCATTGGGAGTATCTTTGCCATTGACTCCGTTCTCCCCCTTCGTCTTCTTCCAGGTTCTGATTCTCTCCCGGTAATCATGAATAGTATCCTCCACCATCTTCCCCGAATCAAAATGCCAGATCTTGAACGATCGATCCTTAACTTCCTCGGAAGCATGATTCTGCCTTGACTCTCTTAGCCGGATCCGCCCAGTCAGGCTGCTGGAATAGATCGCAAACCCGCCGACTGCTATTCACAAGCCATTGCGTCCGCGTCCGGCGGATCTTATCATATGTCTCGAATGCAGCGCGGAGTGCATCGCCTTGCGACACGGCTGCCTCCCGAGCTGATGGACCTGTCAGCTCTGGGATCATGGTACACAGACACAGCGCATCCTCCACCCCGAAAGACGCGCCGGCCCCATGGTGTGGGCTGGATGCGTGCGCTGCATCGCCAACGAGACAGACTCGCCCTTTGTTGTACTTCAGCACAGGGTATTCCGCAAGGTCAAAGAGGGCCCACTGGTCAAGCTCTTCAGGGAATAGATCTACCAGATTGCGGACCGGGAGACTCCAGTTTGCCAGGGCTTCTGAGACAGCTTTACAGGATCCGCGGGCGGTGGCGGGCTTATCGAGTGGCCAGTCATTGGGGTCGGAGACGACCACCGTTGCGCCGATAGTGTTCGTATTGACCGGGTAGTGAATCAGATGCGCGTTTGGGCCAACGTGCATCTGCTGTTTGTGAGTCTTGTACTCTCCGATGGCGGCGATGACTTTGTCCTTGGGGATGAGTGCACGATAGGCAACTTTGTGGGTGTACTGGGGGTATGAGGCGGGGTTATCTGCGCCGAGGAGGATTTTCCGCGCGGTGGACTTGATACCGTCGGCGGCGATTACTGTTGGATTAGCGAGACTTGAAGGGAGCTGGGATCAGAAAGTCAGGGAGAAACACACCCGCATCGGCCTCCACACTAGTCCCGTCGGTAAACTGCAGCACGACCTTATCCCGATCTTCTTCGTCCACAATCATTTCCAGTCTTTTTTGCAGGTGGATCACTCCCTTGGGAATCTCCTTGACCAAGTCATCTAGAAACTGATCACGACGTACGGTCTCCCACCCCTTGACGCCGGCATCCAATCTCAGCAACGGCGCCTGGTACATGGGGTCGTCTTCGCGCTGAAGCCCATACCCGTTGATCCAGCGCAGGTACGATTTCGGGTCCGTCTGATCCAGCGACACGTTGACCGCGCCCCCAGACCGCAGCGCACGCACAATACCTGGGTTGATCTTCTCCATGCACTGGACAGTATTGCGCGTGAAGCCGATACCGGCGCCGATCTCACGGAAGTTGCGCGCTTGTTCGTAGAGTTTGACTTGTACACCACGGTGGGTGAGGCCCGCGGCCAAGACGAGGCCGACGATGCCGCCGCCGACAATGGCAATTTCGGGGTTATCTGTCATTTTGGGTGTAGTTGCGGTGTTTTGGAGAACCTGAGCCCTGTATTTGAGGTATTGGTGGTTTGATCAGACGTATATATTCTCTTCATCTAATCTGTCCTGGCCTGCCACCTTGCAGATCTTGTAGCATATTCGTCTTGCCGGGTCAGCACTAGCAAAGGGTGATTATGCCCAAGCATTGAAAAGAAATTCCGAGAAAAGGTTTCGTCAATAAATGGAAAATCTTTTGGCTTGCCCGTATATGACAAAGATCTACTGTAATGAAAGTCATGAGCAAGCTGCGCACTGCAAAACACAAGGCAACTGTGAATAAATTACAACTTCATATCTCAACAATATATATATACATAAACCAAATCCTTCAATTTCTTCAAAATCAATCTATTCGATAGATAGCACTGAATAGCTGTAGGATACAATTAAAAAAAAAAAAAAAATTTAGATGGTCCGAAATTATATCAGGTTCTTTGTCTCTAGAAAAGTCCGTATACTAATATTTGATTAAAAGCAAATTATGAATGTTAAAATGTAGAAGTATAAAACTACAAGTTTATATGGTGTTTGGTAGTGTGCAGTGCGCCTAACTATGTTATACTTCCTGTTTTAACAGCATATTTTACTATTATATGCGAAATCACTAATTAGCTCATTCATGAATATCAATCATGAAACAATTGCATTAGACTTATATTTGTGCAATGAAATTATAACCTCTAGTTAGTTCATGCCCTGAAAATGAGAGACAATAGTCAGGTTAATGAATGTACCACTCCCCGCTCTCTCTTCCAGAAAAACACCAAAATTGTAAAAGAACAGCCTCAAAAAGGAAAAGATATACTCTATCAATGGACACCCAACCCAGGCTATGATGCTGTCATCACGCCCGTTCGTTGTGCCACATTGATAATCTCTTGTACCACTGACATGACATCCTTGGCCTTAAACGGCACTCGATGATCACCATCCCATTCCACCAGCGTCGCACATCTCCAATCACAATACTCATAGAGCAACCTGCGGTGCAACCCCAGGTTCGGGTCGGCCATACCATGGACATGTACCGTCGGAATTCGAACCCTACAGTCTTTATATTCCATATTGTCCACGAGTTCCTGGCCTGTTGTACACTGCGCCGCGTCAATGAATCCCGGTGGCATGGGCAGGTCCGGGTTCAGCCAGCGCAGTGGACCTCGTCCCGCTAGCAGAATCGCAAACCTGTAGACAGGGTCCGCCGCATTATGAAGTATTTGCTGGTTTGCTAGAATGCTGGCTGCCAGATGCGCACCCTGGCTGAACCCCAGTAACCCAACCCATTCGCCACTCGCTCCACGCTTATCGTCTGCTTGTTGAGCGGCGGATATGGAATCTTTTATACCGTCCACGATCTGGTATTCATTCAAAACGGGATCTGTGGGCTGCACACGCAGCCATGCTTTGAAGGGCCCATGATCTTTGTAGGCGGCTGTCACGTCCGGGCCTGGTCGTGCTGGGAGCGGTGCCTCAGCGTAGACTAGCCGGAAATGAGAACGAAGCCTTCGCTCTAGGACGCGGCATTGCATGCGAAAGATAAGAGCATTGATTCCCCCGCCGTGGAGACAAAGAATCCGTGGCAGGTCCAGGGACGCATCCATGCTGATGGTCTCCAGGTGATTCAAGTCCACTATCCCCAACTGGTTGTTTGTGCCGATGGATGGGTTGTCAGCAAAGCTGCTCCAAGTTACTTGCTCTGAAGAAGAAGAGAAATAAGAGGCACGGTTCTCAATCTGTATCTTAGGGTCTGTAGGTGGTGAAAGGAATAGCGACATAGGGAGTCCACCGAGGTCCATATCTACAAACGTACATTGCTATCTACATGCTTACCCATACCGACCTGCTATCAAACAGACCATGCCTAGTTGGTTTAAAGAGGAATATACTGTGGTCTAGCTTATTGATTTTGTTATCGTGGTAGTTCCAGCCCCCACTTGACGACTTGTCAAGATTAGGAGGGCGATTTTGGTGGTAGGACTGAAAGTATCGCGGCGATAAAATCAATGGACCAGACCACAAAAAGAATGTCGAGTTAGGCTACAGCCGAAATTATGCATCAATGACAAGAGAAGCTCTGATTTGGCGCTCGGAGTAACTTTTCTTATGATCAAGATGATCGACCTAGGTAGCGTCATCTCCGAAACATCTTAATCAGGAATACCCCGATCCGAACCCCGACCCTGAACCATTGATTGACCGACTTCCCAGAGTGAGAGCATCTGAGTTTACAATAAGTAATCAGTTAACTGTCTCTGCTTGTTCACTCCCTTCTTTGATTGTTCTAGCGTCGACAAGTCCTTCCACCGCGACTTCCTTCTGCGTTATCTCTGTCTTTCGAATGTCTGTCAATAGCAATCGTTTCACTCCATTTCGCCTTGTCTTATCAAATCCATCGACTTGAAGAAAAATCGACACAATGGCCGACATCGTCCAGGAGACTCCTGCTGAGGAGAAACCCGCCCCCGGCCCCTCGCCAGCTCCGAACGGTGGTGCCTTGGCCTGGCTCAATGTTCTGGGCAGCTTCATGTTATACTTCAACACTTGGGGCATCCTCAACACTTTCGGCGCATACCAGACGTACTATGAGTCCGGCGAACTCTTCCATGCCTCTCCTTCCAACATCTCCTGGGTTGGATCGCTCGCTGCCTTTCTGCTCCTGTTTGTCGGTCTCTTTGTCGGTCCCATCTTTGATCGCGGTTACCTTCGCATCCTCCTCATTGCAGGCACCCTGCTTATTGTTTTCGGACATATGATGTTGAGCCTATGCCATGAACTTTGGCAAGTGCTGCTTGCACAGGGATTTGCGGTTGGGATTGGTACAGGTTGCTTGTTTGTTCCATGCGTTGCCATCATCCCTCAGTACTTTACTACCAAGATGGGCGCTGCCCTGGGTGCAGCCGCCTCTGGATCTGCACTTGGGGGTGTTATTTACCCTATTGTTCTTTATGAACTCATTGATCAAATTGGCTTCCCATGGGCAGTCCGTGTGATTGGATTCATCGCTTTAGCCACCCTCCTTATTCCCATCAGTCTCATGCGTCTGCGCGTGAAGCCACCTAAGGTTCGCGCTCTCATTGACCTGACAGCGTTTAGCGACCCAGCTTATCTGGCGTTTGTCTTCACCTCTCTCATCGCGTACATGGGTCTCTTTGTCATACTATTCTACCTGTCATTTTTTGCTTCAGCGACCGGCATCACCGATCGAAGCCTGGCATTCTACCTGGTCCCCATTTTCAACGCGGCCTCCGTTTTCGGCCGGACAATTCCCAACAAGCTGGCCGACCGCTTCGGTTCTTTCAACCTTCTTGTCCCTGCCACCTTATCCTCGGGCCTTCTGACGCTTTGCATGATGGCGGTGAAGTCCAAGGCCGCAGTCATTGTTATGGCTGTGCTGTCCGGATTCATGAGTGGTGCGCTCATCGGACTGCCTCCAATGTGTCTTGCCAACCTCACCCAGGACAAGTCCAAGCTGGGCACGCGCGTTGGCATGGGCTATGCCATCATTGCACTGGGTGTGCTTATCAGTGGACCCAGCAGCGGTGCAATTCTTAGGCACGGTGGTTCTTCACTTGACTGGACTAGCTTGTGGACTTTTGGTGGCGTTCCGACCTGCGTCGCGGGCTTGGGCTACGCCGCCATACGCATCGTCAAGTACGGGTCAAAGCTGAACATCAAGGCTTGATTGTCAGGTTTGACCGTCCCCAGGAAAACCCGCTTAATTTTGGACATGGGGGAGACCTGAGGAAAGAAGGCCTAGATTAGAGCTTAATGACGGTTCTCCATGCTATCGGGTCGACTCTCAATGCCAGCAACCAGGCCGAATTGGGGCATCGGAAACAAGAACACATTCAAGTGTCACGTTAGGCTGATGCTATCAACATGAAGCCGTTCTGTTGTAGTCGGAAGCAAATGTCATGCTGTCCTTGGGGGTTTATTATGAGTGAGAATCAACTGAGTTCTGCTACTTACGGTCATGTTATTATAATAATACGATATTTGAACATTGGAAGTTCCGAAAACTTAATTCTGGAATTCGACCTCTCCATATAGTTGTATCCGCAGTCTGAGAGTATTTACATAGCAGTCCTAACTCCACACCTAAACGGCGCCACAACAAGCTTCTCCATATCCCACACCCCAGCGTCCACAAGCGGATTCTTCTCAATGATCCTAAGAATCTCCTCCTGGGTTTTTCCTTGGAACAACAACACGCTGCTCCGCACCTGTAGCGGTTCCTCTGGGGTCTTGGGATGCGCGGCCAGCGTTGGTGCTCCGAAAACAATCGTCCCGTCGAGAATGTAGGGCTTCAAGTGCGCCAGGTGTGCATCTCGGTTTGAAGCCCAGGCTTGGACGGTGGATGGGTCGATGGGGACTTGGACGAGATACTCGGTATTGTTGGTCGAGGACATTTCGCAGGTATTGGAGAGGGACTCGACGAGTGGTTCTCCTCGAGATGGAGTTCGATGAAGATATTATAGGGATCTAGCTTGTGCCTATGTTATGGCGATCCGATGGTCTTCGCGTTTCTGGCGGTGTCACTTTTGCGGCTGACCGGAAGAACGCAGGCATATGAGAACATATGAATGAACCACAGTGTTGTAGTTTGCCCTGATAACTCGGAGAAACTTTATAATGGCCATCCTTCGGAGTTATGTTCTGTTTAACGCGGGAAACTGAAATTACCTTAGGTTTGTCCGAAGCAAATGCATTGTTCTCATCCTGCGTAGGCTTCCCAGCCATTTTCTTCTGATATTGATTACCATATTTTACCAGCCAGCAATATGCGGTGACTAGGATATCAATGAATCAACTGGTATCGGTGTCGCATACTCCGTACAAAAGGATGGCCCCCACTTATTAAGGATGTGCTAATGTCGCACTTACTGTTGGAAATGACATTGGAGATATTCTGCAAATTCTCCGTGCAATCAGACTGGCAAGGCGATGAACGGATGGATGGAGAGCCGTCGGAGAATCATCAGTGACGCATCAATGAATCACCAGTTTATCAATAGAAACAAATCACAAAGCTACATAACCAAAACGGGTTCCTTCGCGGAGATATCAGTCCAAAATTCAGCCAACCTGCCAGTAGAACAAAATATGGGTTCCAATGATTCAACCCCGCCAACCTCCATCCCGACCGTGGACATGAGTCCTTGGCTGGACGAGCATGCCTCACCAGCAGCCAAGGATGAGGTGGTAAACTCCATGCGCAATGCATGTTCCACCTTCGGCTTCTTCTATCTCGTCGGCCACGGTATTCCCGAAGAAGATCGCCAAGCCGTCCTTGAGTGCACTCGCAAGTACTTCGCCCTTCCCATGGAAGACAAGATGGAGACTTGGATTGGCAAGGCGATGGGACGGTCGTTCCGTGGCTACGAGCCGCCTGCTCTGCAGGTGCATCAGGAGGGCCTCTTACCCGCTACTAAGGAGGTGGGCACCATAACCCCAAAGGCTATTTGGGCACTCGGACAGGCTAATTTACTCACTGCGTGCCAAAGGGCTTCATCATCGGCCGCGAGACCCCGGCCGATGCCCCCGAGGCGGGAACGTTCCATACTGGGCCTAACCAGTGGCCGAAGGCGCTTCGCGATGAAGAATTCCGGATTCCACTGATGGAATATCACAGCAAGATGATCGAGATGGTAAAGGTTATCCTCCGGATCTTGGCCCGTGGCCTTCCTGAGGAGTGGAACTGTCCACCGGATGTGTTTGATGAGTTGACGGTTGAGCCGTCAGCGCCCTTGCGGCTGCTCTACTATCCTCCTCAATCTGTCAAGCATGCGAATCAATTTGGAGGTGCGCCCTTTATTCAACTACAGTTTCTTTTTGGTTTGGACAAAAACTGACAATGAGAATAAAGTGGGTGAGCATACCGACTTCGGTAACGTCTCGGTCCTTCTGCAAGAGGAGGGCACAGAGGGTCTAGAAGTGCTGTATCCTCCTACGCAGACGTGGGTGCCTGTGCCTGTAAAAGCACACTCCTACGTGATCAATATGGGTGATATGATGCAGAAATGGACTGCAGGCTACTATCGTAGTGCGACTCATCGGGTTGTAAATTCTAGCACCAAGGGGCGATACAGTGCTCCGTTCTTCATGAACGGAAATCTGGACCTTAGATGCCACGCCTTAGATGGATCGGGGGAGGCGACTGTTATTGGGGACCATATTCGGCGAAGGCTTATGGAGACGATTGGTGGCGAGGCGGGGAGGAAGTTGGGACTTTGAGTCGATTTAACCTACCTGCGCCCAAGTGGGGCTGGTGTTGGTCCTCCACTAATAGCGCCTTATAAAGCTAGTGCCTAGCCCTAGAGTATAACGAGCTAGGGTAGTTGTCTAGTCATTTATAGGTAACTTATAAGCATGTGATCTATTGTCCTCTTCCCTTTGTTTTCGACCTGGGAGTCATTCTATAACTCACAGACAAGAGAGACAAAGCTAGTTCCAATCCAGGATATTGCTACTCGATGGAACTCTACATTCTTAATGATTGCACGCGTGAAGAAGCCTCAGCAGGCCTTTGATGTTTTCTACTCCCAATATGACCAAGAGCACCTTACCTTAATCCAGGAACGGTGGCGGTAGGTCAATTGTTTTCTCTGTATTCTTGAGCCTTTTCACCGATTTACAACGCTTTTATGCATGACAAAGAATATCACTATCCATCGCGTTTTCAAGCAATCTACGATAAGCTGTTCGATCACTTTAAAAGTCGATTAAGCAGCTTCGGCAGAAGATGGTTGCTTGGAAGCAGGTAATGCTTTCATCTCTCAAATCAGCAAAACTCAAGCTCTCAGCCTACTACAGAGACACCGACCAGATTGATGGTTATCTCTACGCAATTGGTACAATACTTTCTCTACAGGATAAACTCAAGTTCGCCCGACTTCTGACTAGGACCTAGTCCTAGAATCCGGGATCGACTACTGAGCATCCTACTAAGTATCCCTAAATATATTCGGGCCCTGTACGGGGGGTACTCATATAACGGAAGAAGCTGGATCGTATGGACTAGTACTGCAGGCGATGAATAAGATCAGACGGAATCAACTGGAGACCAGATGAATTGATTGATTGATTGAGGAAGAGATCAAAAGGATCACAGCCCCTGAGGACGGGATGACATGACCTCAGTAGCTAGGCAAGACCTTAGTGTTACAGTACCTAATTCCGCAATGAAACCAACTATTACATACAAGACACATATAAAAGTGTAAGGACCAATCAGTTGTCTCTGTAAGGAATACAATATTACCCCGAAGAATCTTTACAATTTTGACGAATCTGGCTTCTGGATTGGCTAGGGCAAATTCTAACGGGGCGTTACTAAGCACAAATATAGTGCCAAGTCTATTCAAACTGGTGGAATCGGGGAATCAGTGACCGGAATCGAATACATCGCTGCAGACGGCTGGGTAATGCCCCCCATTCTTCCTATTCTAGGGCCAGTATCATATGGAGAGTTAGCTATCGCGAGCAGCCCAATCTACCAGTCGATTACTATATTGCTCCCACAATAAATAGTTGGACAAATCACATACGCGACTATCAATGGCTTGTATATTTCGAAGAGCAAACGAAAGAGCGCCTTACTCATCGTGGCGACTATCCCCTTCTCTGGATGGATAACCATTGTTCGCATTGCGTCTTAGGATTTCATTAACTTCTGCCAGGATCATTAAACTATTCATTGGTGCTTCCCTTCCAAGCTGACGCATTAGCTTTAACCCCTAGACAGGCACCTATTTCAAGCATATAAGACTATTACAAGCAGCATAATATCAGACTGTGCAGTAGCAAAGAGAAGGAGATTTTCTTCGGGGAATACAGGAGATTCGGTTAAGAAGTTCAGAAATGCTACTGTACGACACTCAGTTCGGAATTGTGGGATTCATCCGTTTGATCCTAACGTTGTTACCAGGCGGATTCCTGAGCTCCCAATCCCGGATCTAGATTGTATACGACTAGGGAAAGGAATACGAGCTGCCAGAATAGAGTTTTGACGCTACAGAGCTCTGGGGCCCATAAGAACGTATGCCAAAAACTCCGCCGGCATCAAGTTCTACTATAAACTCACCACTAACCACTTTGACAAAGCTTCGACGGGATATTTCTAAGGCCCAAAAGAGCCTAGCTGCACTAAGCAAGGCCTCCGCTGCTGCTAGGATGGATACAGCCAAAATATCGCAGTATTCATATCACATTTTCAATAGTAGCCTTACAGAGGCAGAGCTTGGTGCCCCAGACGCAGTCAGATATGACTCGCATACTTGCGAATCAGGAGCCTCTCTCCAGACCGAAAAATCCCGCCGCCAGATACGGCAAGGTGGCCCTCCCAACGTTGGGGATGTGGATACCCTCATTCGATCGCGGGAAATTGCAGGGTCTGAGAAACAAAAGAGGAAGTGGTCGCGGGAGGCCAAGAAGCCGCGCGATGAAATGCTGCATAGGGACCTAATTAGGTAGCAAGAAAATTGGAGATGAGGGTCAGAGCTTGTATGGCAACTAGGGTCAGACGGAGAGCAACTCTATTGCATAGACACAAGAGGAATGGCGCTGTGAATAGCATTAATCTGACCAAGGAGGTGAAATCATGATTTGGTAGGGCCCTCACTGTCTTCGGCAGTGACGGCCGCTGGGGCGAGTAGTTCGTAGGCTTTTTCGACTTCCCTTGAGCTCTTCAAAGTGATCAACCTCCAAAAGTCTACAAACCGGGATCTACATGATTTCCCGCATTTTGCTGGAGCTGGAGATGCAACATTCCCGCAAGGCGATTAGCAGATGCCAGGTATCGCAATGAAGAAGAAATATCCATGAACTGCTCGGTAGCCTCGCCATTCAACGTCTTATGCGTGCGAGTGAACTCAGCGCAGATGAACAGTGCAATTGGTGTGAATGGGTGGACCTGCTCTTGTTAGAATAAATTGATTTATCTATCAATGGGCAACAGGGTTCACCTTGAACAAACAAAATTGAGACAGTATCTGTGCCTGGTTATGGATTCGCTCTGCGGCCTTGAATGCCCGGTTGTTATACGTCTGGCACACATCTCGTGGGCCTTCGGGGACGGAGCTTAGGGCAGTGGAAAGAACCAGAATAGCGGCTTCTGCGAGCATTTCGATGAACACATAAGTAGGATTGTAATGTTCATTATCAGTTGAGACGCAGGATAATATCGTCTTGATTTCTTCTGTTAAGATTTTGTCCAGCTCGCAGTGGCGCGTCAGGAATTCTTGCGACGTGGGGTCTGTGATGCGCTCGACATTGCACTGGTTTCGGTGTGCGACGCATCGTGAAAGAATGGTCACGATTACCATTGATTTGGCGTATGTGGAGAGCGGCTGCTTGGTCTTTTGGGACATAGCCGAGGCCAGGAATTCTGACGTGATCGCCGTCTGCCCTCGGAATGCAGCTTCGGTAGCGGGTAGTCGCGTGAGAATCTAGAAGGCAGACGCCGTTAGGTACACAGAAACACTTTTGTTTTGTCCAATTTCTTAGTCAAGCTTACCATCCGATCGTTTAATGAAAGAGGTAGACCGTACACGATATTAGCATACCGGTCGAGGGCGTACACTGCCCAGAACGTCCGCCGTCTCTCCTCAACTTCTACCTTTGAGAGTTGGCACGACTGCCATGTGCTTGGGCAGTCTATCTGATCTAATTTCATCCGATGCACCAGCTGAACACAGCGACCCGCGTTGCTCCATCCCTTTCGTGGATCGTCCTTGAGAATCCCGTATACGGCCAGCAGAAGCTGTGCTTGAACTATATCTATTGGAATCCCAACATCCGACATGTTGCGGTCCCAAGCATCCAACATACCACTAGTCTGTGAGTGCAACATTGGAATGGTGGCCGTGAACTGACTACCCATAGATGCCGCAAGCGTGCGCATTGCGTTTTGTAAGCATGTGAAAGGTCCACTCATTTGCGACTCTCTGTTTATTCGCGCAAAGTAGCGCTGTTGGTTGATTATGGGTATAAATGGATAGGCTCGTTCAAAGAAAAAGGCATCGCTGCCTCAAGTGAGTATGTGAAAGAGACATATGGGAGGACTTAGCATACAGGTCTGCACACTCGAGCGGTGTTATCTGAACGGGAGTCTGGAGTGGTATTGACAATGCTTGGGAGCTTAAGTCTGGAAATATCACGCTGGTGTCCAGCAGTGGGTCCGATTTGGGCTTCGCAATTGTCATCACAGGCGTTGGGGACGACAAGGCCGTGGAGCTGGAGGAAGGGTCGATCTGCTTGTCCAATTCACTTTCAAGGTCCAAATGTATGGCCCCAGGCCACTTGACACATTCCATCGACTGTGCACTTATCAGATACTGTGTATAATCTGGCGAGCCGTGCGCCATCGTCGCGATATCTTCCATTGCTCCATCGCTTATAGGCCCTTCCACAGACCTCGCTGGCTCCAGGGAACTGCATGCCACATTGACGCTATTGTCTCTTTTTGGAGAAGTGCTTGAGTGGATGTCTGAATCACCATAGAGTTGACGCTCGAGATTCGCTGTAGAACTCGTTAGCCATCGACTCCATCCCAGCAGTCTGCGGAACAGTCTCCTACCAATTCGAGATTTCAGGGTTTTTACGTGGCCCTTGCGTGGTCCTCTTGGGCGTCGCAGTGGATTGATAACGCACGTCACCCCGAGATTATAACATGTTACACATTGGGACCCGCGCATGTCACACTTGACATTCCTCGCATGCGAGGCCTTTTTTCTGCTGGAAACTGTCCGACAGTACAACCATGTCTTCCATTGAGGACGATTGTGGCCAGGTAGTCGAGAATATTTTCCGACAGATGGTTGAATTCCGGGATTGAAGATGTAAAAGGCGCATTAAAGATATGCAAAATTTGGGAATTACAAGGTTGTTATTTGTATCTACCCTTATTTACCAGATATTAACAGAATAGCGAGTGGCCAGAAAGACTAATGTGCTGAGCTGAACTGCAGGTATTTGGGTCAGATTCAATCAAACAGTGGGGGCCAAAAACCCTTGAACCTTCACCGTAATGGTTTTGCGGTATTATCTATCTATTAGCATATCAAGGATAAGCCAAAAGCAACTTTATGAATAGAGGGCTGTAGTTTTACAGCATAACATAATTCACTTCTCTTGTTAACAGTTAGCAGGGCTAAATAGCAGTTATTTTAGCTAAGTGTGTGAATCAAGGACATGACAAATGAGATCGCTGGTAGGTATATCTAGAAAAGTGAGCATGCAAAATAAAGTCCATTTCCGGCCATATCAGCTTGAAAAGTACCTTTGTATGAATGCACATCGGATATAAATCCGAAGTGAGCTCCCAATTACCACCGAGCTGAACAATTTGTAGATCCTCCAAGCCACTAACGACGCTGATAACCATGCCCCCAGCCGATTGGACAGGATACCAATACAGAAGAATACAGAAGAATACAGAAGAATACAGAAGAATACAGAAGAATACAGAAGAATACAGAAGAATACAGAAGAATACAGAAGAATAC